AACGGGAGGCCAGATTGGATTGTTAAAAAAACACACACACACACACACACACACACACACACGCACACAATGGAGAAATCACAAAGAGGAAAAACACCTGAGAATAAGAATGTAACAGTACTTAAGAGTTACTATCTATCACGGTTTTATGGGCCATTATTATGGAATTGATCAGATTTTCTGCTGCATAACAGCTGAGACTGATATTTACAGACGAAGTTAAAAAAGAAGAAGCGGTATACACAACATTTTTATTTTTTATTTTTGCCTGGTATTAAATCAGGCAAAACCTTTTGTGTTTTAAGTCTGAAAAATGATTTTGATTTGTTAATGTTTAAATAAAGTATAATTAAGGCCGTTGTAGATGGGAAAAAAAGAGGAGCAAATTTTTATTTTAGTATTTAAAATTGACATTTTTTATCTTTGCATCATGTTATAATGTTATTCCCTCGTCACAAACATACCTGGAGTTTAGCGTTAATTCTTTCATGCATGTTTACGAAATCCTTGAATCTCCCGTCGCACCCATTCAGCTGTCCAAAACATCTGGGTGGTCTTAGCTCCGCCTTTGAGGTGCAGCTCCTTCTCAGAGCTTCAGAGGTTCTGCCTCACAGAGCAACCTTGAATCTCCCACTCAGCTCCTTCAGACTAGCCTGCAACAATTAGCAGCAAACACCTGATGGAACTTTGCATCTGCTGAGCTCGTTATTGGCGCTACTTCTCAGTGAAATGCTGGTAAAATGTTGTTAAAAGGTTAATAAAGTAGCAATATTGTGATAACATCCTGAAGGATGCATTATTTTGTAAATAATGATACTTTAATGAAAAGTTGGCACTTTTAATTTATTTTTAAAGCAAGTTTTAGAGCAACTTTGCATTAAAAGTGTCATTATTTACCGAATGACACTTCATGATAACAGTCAAACATTCATAAAGACTCCTTCATGTTCCTAACGGGTGTCATGTCAGTCTTATGCACAACCCATCAAATAAAGTGTCACCGCTTTATTTGGTGAGAAGTTGAGAGTTCTTGGAGCCCCCTGCTGGTCTGGAGGCTATAGCACACGGCTCGTTGTGTTTATGCCTTGGTCTGGATCTCTTTACGAAATATATCACCAGGGTGGCATTTTATGTAAGGAGCAATGACTCAAAATTTTTTGCCAGAAACAGTAACTATGTATTTCTGTCTAATATTTTATATATATATATATATATATATATATATATATATATATATATATAAGCCCAAACTGTGGCAGCAAAGTGGAGATGTGAAAATATGTGCATCATGTATTTCTGGAATCTCTTGGATTTAAGTCCGCAGGCTGATGATGTCTTCCATCAACTCCTGCTTCCTTCCAGTTTTTTTTTTTTTTTTTTTTTTTTTTTTTTTTTAGGCCAAGTCTAGAGTGTTCAAATCATAACTTATTGAACATCAAAGGGAAATGTAATGAGATGTATGGAGATGTGTTTTTTTTGCCTCCGTCGCACACTGAGACGTAAAAATCCGTGTCAATTGGGAATATTTTTGGAGCTTTCTTTGTGAAATCTTCTCCCTTCTCCAGTTAAAACGAGCGCCGAAGTTATTTCATGTTAGGTTATGAGATCTGCCTGATAACAGAACGACATCAGCATTCACCAATCAAAGTTCAATCTAAACGAGCGGTGACGCATTTTATGAAACGAGTTTTTACGGAGCAGGGAGCCAGCAGACGGCATTTACAGCCTCATCAGAATTTCAGCAGCAGACTCAGACTTTTGCTCTGTGAAAACAGACCGGGCTACCTTAAGCACTTGCGAGTGTGGGATTTTTGACCGAGAGCTGTGCGGCAAATTCAATCAATTGCAACCTGTGGAGAGAGAGACATTACATGTCCTCCTTCTCTGTCTGCGGGAAGGGAAGCTAAACCGTGTTGGGAGAGAGAAATCCTGCAAGAATAAGAGAGCAAGAACTCCGTCGCTTAGATGTCTGTGTTACTGAAAATAGGCAAATTGAAGAGTTCTTGCAGTTCTTTCAAATAAAGAGCTTGGTGCAGTGAAACCATAGGACATGAAAAGATACGTTAAAAATTGAAAAAAACTGAATCACTTGCTAAAGTTGAGGATGCAAAGACGGAGGAACAGGAGAGCTGCACATCAACGGCCTCACAGCTGTTTCTGTCCAAATGTCACGCATACTTTAAACAAACTTTTTAAATGTTTCCAAAAAAAAAAACTGAATTAGGTGTGTTTCCATCTAATATTTCTGAAACAAATCAGTCAGGTTACACGAGGTGTACTTTTGTTGCCGTTACGCATGGCTGTGGTAAACAGGAAGTAGAATTTGCAAACCAGCACAGGCCACACGTCTCGGGGAAAACTAAATGAGTTGTAATTGTTCCGTCGTCTAGCATAGACGACTGAACAATGATTCCCAAAGCATCACCAAAAGAACACCACACCCACAATGAAACACAGCTGTGACAGAATTGTGATCTTGGATTTATTTCTTGTTTTTCAGATGGAAATTAATTGTCGTTTAGTGCAGATGAAACCAAACGGTCGGATTCGACCCAACCTTCTTGTATTAGCAAGCGAAGCCAGAAATGATCGGAATAAAGTGAGATCCTTCCTACTGCCCCAAAATACTCCACAAATGGTGTGAGGTGTTTGTGCTGATGGGCCTTGTTTTGTTTTCACCGAACATAGCGCTGCATAATTAATTAATTTTTATTTATTCAAAAAGCATTCTTCAGACAGCTGTTTGTTCAGATGGAGCTTTGAAGTGGTGCTCAGTTGAAATGCCAGTCTTTTCTGATCTAAAAAAATATTCTACATATAATGTTATGTATTAAGTATAATTTAGGTGAAAAATTGACCACAGGGGGGGAAAAAAAATAAAGTAAAGGTCTTGGACTTAAATTTGATTCTTCTTCCTCTGATTCACTTTTCATTTTCAGTCTTCTTGCATTCACACCTGCACTCAGTTACAGTGAATCTAATTAACCTGAAATAACAGCTTCAGCTGTTACAGCAGGATTTTTTATTTTTATTTTTTCATTTTCAGATGATTAAAAAAAACAAAAAGAGTTTGGCACCAACAGTAGCGCTGTATGATGAAAACACCAATGCAAAATCCCCCCAAAATTGGATGAAGTAGCTGCATAACAGCGTGGCTTTAGAGAGCATTAATTACTCCGGCGTCTATCGTTTTAAAAATATTTAAAGGGTTAAAGTCTTGAAACAATTAGCAATTAATTTTTTTAAAAGTCAAAATAATGAGACAAAGCCATGCAATAAATCATAATTTGTCAGACCTAATTCAAGTAATTCATTTCAGGGAGTTTATACACTTTTTCATCGACGCACTAATTATCTCCTGATAAAGTCGCCGATACTCCACTGGAATAATGTTTGTTTAGTTATTTTTATATAATCTGCACACTGCATTGTGATTGCACATCACTCTTCAAAGTCTACCCCCGTCCCTCACCTTCGCTGTAGTTTTCTGCAGCTGGGGTCACGTTGCCGCTGACGAAGGCGTGACCAATCGAATGTGATGAAGAGCAGAGATCGTGTCATCGGGTCGTTGCAGTTTAGCGACGGTCTGGAGCGGTTCGGCTCAGAGTCATTCCACATTTTTAACACGAGCTTGCGTAATCTGTAAGCACTACACATTTGGAAATTGTATTCTCACGGCACTTTTTCCTGACCGCCGACGCCAGAACGCTCTCGTTTGCAACTTCCTGTCCTTGATTAGGTTTTACTCCCAACTTATCTTTTTTTTTTTATGTAAATCTGCTGCTTTTATTGTCAGATCTGCGTCTGTGTCTCAGAATTCAGAGCAATCCCACACAAATGAAGTGATGCTACTTGGTGGTGTGTGTGTGTGTGTGTGTGTGTGTGTGTGCATGCATCCGTGTGTGTGTGTGTGTGTGTGTGTGTGTTTGGGGTAGTCCTGGTCATTTATCTCCATGGTCTTACAGATTTGGTTGATCACTGAAAACAACGTTTAAAACCCTTCCTTCCTAGTTGTTATTTTTCTGGAAACAGATGTTTAAACTACACATAACAGCTTAATTTCATGATTTTCTTAACAACAGATTAAGGAATAAAAAAAATAATAATTTTAATAATTCATCCTTGCTTGTAGTTTTTCCGAGTATCCAAAAAATAAACATTTTGCAAAAGTTTATGATCAAATTTTTTTTGGCTTTAAATCTAATTTACACATGTATAGTGACAAACAATAATAGACTGAATTCAATTAATAACGTCTAAGATAATTTAACAAAAAAGATATTTTATGTACGTCAAAATTATCATTCTGTGACAGTATAATATCAGACAAATAATGTGTGAAAAATATCAAGCTTCTCTTCTGCTTCTCCCATTGCTCCCAGTAAGAAGTACAGAAATGCACCACTAAGTCAGAAAGGACCAATCAGAGCCAGGAGGAGGGTCTTACCTCTGTGCTCACATTCTCCCACTTGCTGTTTGCTAAGCTACAGCTGGTTCACCACAACATAGCCTGCTACCAATGCTAACGCTAGTTAGCATAGCTACCGACGACGGCGGATAAACAGTTTTCCTGTAACTGTAAGTTGTTTTTCCAGCATTAGCACACTAAGCAGCATACAGGAGGTTGATTGGCAGCACTAAGATCCTCCTCCTGGCTCTGATTGGTTGTTTTTGATTGGCATTTTTGTAGATCGCAACAATAGCGCTTGAAGGAGCTAAAAGAAAATGTTCACAGATTAGCTGTCTCATACCATGTTGTCACAACATGGTGACAGTTTTAATAAATTTGGACAAAACATGTTTTTGTACTGCAGCTTTCACATTGTGTATAAATATTAGAAACCAAATATGAATACTTTTCTCATCTTTCCATCGAATTAAGCCAATCAGCTAAGAAAAAAAAACAAAAATAACCTGGGAATGATTTAAAAATCGAAATGTTTGCTTTGGTTCCTAAGTAACAGTGCACTTGATGACGTGCATTTTCCTTCCAGAACGTGATGTCACAGCGCTTTCCCTGCAAGATTTGTAACTGAATATTAGCTTTCAGCTAATATTTAGTCTTCCGTTGAGAAGACTCAGGAACTCAGGCCTCTGTGCACTGATCATGATGGAGAAAACGTTTATGGAAACCAAGGGCTACACATATAAGGCCTCCCTTGCAGAAGGATCGTTTGGTAAAGTTGTAAAAGCAGAGTCAATTCATCTGAAGAAACTAGTCGCTATAAAGATTATTGGCCTGAACAAATACACCACCGTCAACAGAGATAAGTTTGTTACTCAGGAAAAAGAAATTATTAGAACTTTAAAGCATCCCCACATCGTCAAAACCTATGATGTCTTTGAATCTCGCTCAGAAATGGTAAATATGAACATTTTCTTTGCTGTAAGCTAATTCTTTGGAATGACAGAACCAAAAATACTTTTGGTTAGACAGCTATGGCTAAAGGGTTTGGCAGTGTTGCTGTTATTATTATTGTTACCATCACAATAACCTAATCATGCAATCTACATCCTTTGTTTTTTATGTTTATTGGTAAATCACTGGCTAAATGTAGTTGTAGCTTTAAAGTGCTAATACCTTGTTTCCATTCTCGTGCCAACATGTTGAAAGCTAGTAAGTAGCGCGCAAAAGGACATGGGGGGGGTAAAAAAAAAGGATTCTGAGACACTGCAAAAGTTTTTTGAGATCCTGTGAAATGTATAAAAAAATCCAGAGTTCAGCTGTTCCACCAAATTACGCGACCCATCATAATCTGTGAGCGCATTTCTCTGCATGTACGTCTTGAAGACAAAAACTAGCATGGAGCTCTGACATTATTATGATTAGGTCTGGGCAGTAAGGTCGTGGATTATGACGGCTGTCATAACCTGTAATTTCTGTGCTGCTAGCTATATCAGGGTCAAATATCATACTGCACAGATTACACAAACACTCTTCTTCTCACTGGTCTATAAGATGTACATTCACAGAAATGCACGCTATCGCCCCCTGCAGTCACAGATTATGATGGGTCACAGAACACTGCACATGTTGCCAGCAGAAACCAGGCAAGAGTACATTATTCTAACCATTTAAACTATTTACTTACAATCAGGCTAATAAAATAATTTATAACTTGCTGCCAGCGCAGATCACCTCTCTCTCTTTTTTTTTTTACTTAACACACCGTGATACACAGTTGTAGTGTGCTAACATGCTAGCTAATGTTAAGATAAATGCTGGTAACCATGGCAACGGGTGAGAGTTTGAAGGCTTGCCGACTCTTTCTGCAGTCAAGCTGCATGTCCTTCCCCAGTGTTTAAAAACAAATTATCTATCTATAATGAACTGAGCTAAAATTGCCAAGTCGGAATAGGATTTGTGCTTCACATGTCTCTCATTTATATGAAAACCACGTCTTCTCTCAAGCACTAATTTAGTGTCTGTATACTTAAGTCCAAACTCAGGACACCCTCTGGGCGTCCTCCATTATGTCTCAGAATTGACACTTTGGGTCTCACAACAGTAAATTGGGATCTCAAGAAACTTTCACAGGATCTTGAGCAACTTTCATGGGCTGTCCATGACCTTGCAAAGGATCTCATACATGGAACGTGACACCCATGTATGGAGGACTGAGGCACTCTGATCTCTTTAGAAAATTTTCAAAATTTGCAATATCGGGAAACTTTTGGATGTTTTCAAAAAACTTTTTTTTTTTTTTTAAGGTGGTTTTCATGTCACAGTAGACTGACGGGAAAGAGGGCTGTGAGGGAGGGGGAAGACATGCAGGAAAAGGTCAAATGGCCTGGACTGGAACCCATGACGGCAGCATGGAGGCCATGGAACCCTTGTGTTCTCTGTTCATGGCTCTGCCACCGCTGTACCCTGATCTTGGGAAACTCATGATATCTTGAGATACTTTCACAATATCTCAAGAAACGCTCAAAGGATTTCAACAAACTTTCACGGGATCTCGGTAAAATTTAAGTCATCAGACATAATTGAAAAGGCAGTCATTCTTTTCTTGTATAAATGACGACTCCAGCGAATGCAAATACCCACTCTATCTATCTGTCCGTCTGTCTGTCTGTCTGCCTGCTGTGAAAAGTGCTGCATTGTCTGACTGATGAAATGATTCCTTTAGGTCTACGTGGTGATGGAGCTTTGCCCACAAGGAGACGTCGCAAAACTCATTTCAGCCAGAGGGGCTCTAGATGAATGTTTCAGCTGCAGACTTTTCAAGCAGCTGTGTCTGGCCATTCAGTATCTCCATGGAATTGACATTGCTCACAAAGATATTAAATGTGAAAACCTTCTTTTGGACGCGCACTATAACCTCAAACTGTGTGACTTTGGCTTCAGCGAGAAGCTCAGTTACGTCCAGGGCAAACTGGTGCCGAGCGACACCCACTGCGGCACCTTACAGTACGCCGCACCGGAGATCCTGAAAAACCTCCCGCATAACTCAAAGATTGCTGACGTGTGGAGCATGGGCATCGTGTTGTACAAGATGCTCTGCGGGTTGCTTCCCTTCATCACCACCAACACGACAAAACTAGTGCAGCTTCAACTGAAGCACAACATTAAGTTCCCAACTGGTTCGTCTGTTTCAAGTCAGGCGAAAGAGCTGATTCACAGCATTCTGCACCCGGTGGTGGACCATCGGATCACGGTCAGCAGGATGCTAGAGAGCCAGTGGGTGCTGAAGTTGACTGAGGAAGACAGCGACGAGGGGACAACGGCGACTCAGACGGCGACTCTCAGTGAAATCAAGGAGGATAAGCTAACAATACATAACTCGGACGCAAAGGAAGGACTTTCCACTGCGGTCCCGTGAGAACCACCAAAGTCGGACAATTTCAGGATTGTTCAAAGTTGAATAAATGTGAACCTTCTTAATCGGCTTGGGTGGTGGTTTGGTTTTCACACGCAGTAGAGTGAAACAAGTGATTTGCTCCATACTGGTTTCTTTTGTTTTCTGTTTGATATTTCAAACAGTTTTTTAAAATTATTCAAATAAAGTCTAATTGTGAAAATACTCTGGCTGTCATCTCCAAAAAACAAAAAAAAAAAACAAAAAAAAAAAAACAGGTCATTTTGCCCAGGCCTCTGCAACTGGCTCCCTTCCTCATGGAGAAGCAGCAGCTTCGAGCTTCTCACCCGATTTCTGAGGCGGAGCCCAGACACCCTGCAGAGAAAACTCATTTTGTCCGCTTGTATCGCCAGCAGCAGGTTGGAGGGTTTTTTCTGCGACGGGCACCGACAACCGAGGCAGGCGCAGATCCGAAAAGCTGCCTTGGTGATGGAGGCATGGAACGTGGCCGACTTGTGCCCGATGTCCTCCGCTTTCCTCGGAACGTGTTTGAAGTTCTCCCGGAAGTGGGAGTTAAAGCTCACAAGACGATCCCAGCAGATTATATCCACACAGAGGAAACGGAGGGGGTTGGGGGCTTTATTGTCAATAACCTTCTAAATCCACCGTAAGCCAGAAAAAGAGGGAAAAAGGAACTTCTGATTAACGCCACTCAAGGAAGACTAATAAATTCTCCAGCGACGCTCTGAATGTGACAAATCCATCGAGCGAACCGCCGGCGCAGCTCGCCCACCCACCCAGCCCCCCGTGTACATCAAAGCCACTTCAACCAACCGCATTATAATAATGATATCAGGTTATTGCACACTCAGATGCATAAACTAATTGTCAGATTCCAGAGTTCGAACATATGGCTCCGTGAACCGCGGCGTGGCTGAGCGACCGACGCCGTAAAAATCACAATCCCGTAATTAATGCCGATCCCAAAACGTTAATCAAACAATAAGCGCGCACATCTTACCTCTGAGAGCACAAATCACCTGAAGAGCTGACTCCTGTAGTCATTATAACTGCACGGGTTGCTGTGTTTATGATCTGTTTACGCACCAAGAGTGCAAATTGCAGAGGCTCAAACAAAACCGCGTGTTTTGCCATCCTTTTAGTCTAATTGTCGTTTTTGGAGAAAATGCACTTAGTGTCGCCCTCACACCTAATGTGTTTGGAAAGTGCATTGGAATAAAACCCGCCGCGTTTAAAGATGGGGTCTAATAGCGCCGTTGGCTTTATTAGCAAAACTGACACACACACACACGCACACACACACACACACACACACACCTACACACACACACACACACACACACAGCTGACATTTATCTCAGGAAGGATTCTTTTATCAGTTTTTTCCATTGTCCGTTGCGTGTGGTTCTGGACGGCCGCCACCGGCGACCCTGAACAAAGATGGAATTTTAATATAATTTTAAAAAAATATAAAATACTTCAGCTTACATGAATAAGTTGCAACTGTTTATTTCCTGAGCCTTCAGGCTGTTCCGTAATTAACTGTGGAGGACAATCTGGATGTCTGCTTACCTGGTGAATAAACATTTATTTGGGTCGCGGGAAAAAGAAACACGATGTCGTTTGAAGAGAAAAGAGCCATTTAGCCTTCAAGAGTCCAAACCACGAACAAATTATATGTAGGAAATGTATCCGATTGACCTTTGCGTTCCGGCTTTACGGACACGTAATTACCGTACGAGCAAAATTTGATGCTTTATAATTAGTTCAAATGCCAGTGGGAAAAACAACAAGTTTTATTTATTAGAATGGCTGAGGAGAGAAGTGTGTTTCTGCTTTCCAGTGACATCCTATTCATGTGCAAATCAGTCTTTTATCAGTGCCGGCTGTAGTAATTGAAATAGCTGCATGTTAGGAGGCGCAGCGCTGTGAGCCAGGAGGAAGAGGGAGAGACAAGATCCTCTGCAGAGTTTGCCTTCAAAAGCCACCTGGTGCTGATGTGACGGTGTGTGGAGGCAGACGGCAGCAGAGCGTCCTGTTAGACTCCCTGCTACACCCATTAAAACACTTAAAGGGGCAATACTTCTGTGTTCTCCAGGCACATCGTCCCATTTTGTAAATTAACCAACTATGTTATATTCAGTTGTTAAAAAAATACTTTGTAAATCAAATATGACTTAAGTGAAATTTGACTTCATATTTTAACACCTTGAAATTAAGATTATGTCTCTTTAAAAACCCCTGCTTTCTCTGAAACTCCGCCTCCAGGAAGTCATCACAACACAGCTCCTCTGTTAACCCTTTAGCGACGTCTTTACTGGTGATGCGTTGAGAAGTAGCTCCTATAATGAGTTCAGTTGATAAACATTTCCTCCAGGTGTTTGCTAATTGCTGCTGACTAGTCTGAAGGAGCTGAGTGGGTCAGACGTGGGAGAGGGCGGAAGCTTGGAAAGTGGCGTTTTCCACAGCTGAATGGTTGCCACGGGAGATTAAAGGATTTCTCAAACATGCAGGAAAAATCAAAGTGACATCAGAGGTATGTTTTTGATGAGGGAATGATATTGTAATGTTGAGTTAAGCTAAAAAAAAGTAAATTTTACACAATACTACTTCTTTAGGAACACCCACAAAATCTCTAAATGCACTTTCTTCTCTATTAACTTAATATTCAACACAATCTCTCATCCCACATGTTCTAGCCACCCTGGATTCTTTCACTTTGTCTCTAAGCAGCTTAATCTGAAACGTCCCTTTGACTTAAAGTCAAATTGTTGACCTGCAGTCATGTGGTTGCAGGACATTGATCACACAGACCTTCCACTAGACACACTTAGCCAAGGCTCCTTGAAACTCCTGCTGTAGAGTATGTGATGTTGTCAACACTGGTTATATGTAATCTCTACTTCTCCGAGATCCTTTCGATCAAAGCTACGCTTTGTACAGATGACAATATCATCTGCAAACATAGACTGTAGTGATCTTTGCCAGGCCAAAATCCTGAATGGGGTACAAGAGGACCAACATTGAACCACGTCCTGCCATGTGGCTGAGGTCACAACTGTTGATTTGGGCTTGTTTGCTTGCCGTACCCGGGCACCTTGGAATTAGTGGCTCAGCGACTTTTCATCCGCGTATACCAAAGTATAGTTGAGTCCAAGGCTGTTTGTTTGACACCTGAAAGGTGACAAAAATGCAGATGGTATTCATAGATCTATGTGGTTGTGTATTTCTGTGAGCCCCATTACCCTGAAGCAGTGCTGTGGAGGATAGAGAGCCAAAATTCCTCTGCAGTGATTTGAGCCGGATATAAAAAGTCAAACTAAAAAAAAAAAAAAAAACCCTCTACCCTCTACTTTTAAGCTTCTGCTACTAAATGCAGTCCTACAACCCACTGAATTATAGATGTGCTCAGTTTTTCTCATGACTGTCAAAATCTCAGCGTAGCCTATTGAAATGGATGCCTAAAAACCCGTTAAAACATGCAGCGAAACAAGCAATCTTACATGTAAAGGTAAAGTTGTCGACAGTAAAAAACGATCTTGGAAGAGAAATGAAACCAGGATTGCCTCGGGGGTAATGGAAGAGAGTGGAGGAGATGTATAAAACTACAGGAAGTATAACACTGGACTGAAAATGTAACTCTATTTTACTCTTTGTAGCAATAAATACAGCAAGTGTTTCTACTTGGGAAGCCAAATTCTTAACAAAGAAGCTGTTCTACCGTTTGAACTGTACAACATCACATGCTGCTCCTGTGTTGCGCAGAGTGGCACTTTTAAAGCATGTCTTTTTTACGGGTCCAAATGTAATAATATTAAGGTCATTTTGTAGGACATCGGGTTCAGTGATGACCTTTAAGGATGTATGCTGCTATTGATGTCCTGCTGTTAAGCTTGGTGTGTGTATACTGCAATCAGTGTGTTGAAAGTCATGGTGTTCTGCTGCGCTGTGACTGGGTTTGTAACTTTTTGTCTTATTTTACCTTTTCTTGCATATGAACCATACAAATGTATACATTCTATTGTCCTAAGAAGGCCTCCATATGCTCAGATCATATCAGGCAAATTAGTCAGGGAACATAAGTTTCTATTTCTATTAGAAGGTACCAGCTGAGCAATCTGATTACAAAGTAAAGGCTTAAGATTTGTTAATGTTTGTTTAAGATTGTTTAAGTTTGAGATTTGTTAATTTGTTAATAGTTGAATGGCTCAACTTGCTGTCATTTCCCCTGTATTTACATTTTGGCTTGTAATCAAACTCAGACAGCTCTTAGCGGTGGATCACTCGGCTCGTGCGTCGATGAAGAACGCAGCTAGCTGCGAGAACTAATGTGATTTGCAGGACACATTACAGCAATTTTGACATTGCTGTAATGTCAAAATTGTACTAATACTTTTGCAGTAGTGCATTATTATGAAGGCTACACGAGAACCCCAAAACTCATGGCAGACGTTTTCAAGTTGGCCAAATAAGACTTTGTTGTGTATTGTGTGTTATTTTCTTATGGCTTTATGTCTCCTAAAGGCTATAAAACAAAAGGTCGACACACGATAATGTGACAAGGTCACTGGTTTCCACTCAATTCTCCTCATTCCTTGCTGCTGGTAATATTTCCAGTCAAATGTCCATTTGTTGTAAGTTTGTCAAAGTAGCAGTATTAAAAGTGAAATTTACTTTTTTGAGCTTTACGTCACATTATAATGTTATTGCTTCATCAAAAACACACATGGACTGTTGCTCTGATTTTTTCCTCTGTGTGTGACGAATGATTTAATCTCCCATGGCAACCATTCAGCTGTGCTAAATGCCTGGTTGGATGTAACCCCGCCTTCCAGACGAAGCTCCTCCTACGAGTTGCAGTTTCCAAGCCTCCATCTCCCAGAGTAGCCCTCCCCCATGTATCCCTTACTCGGCTCCTTCAGACTAGCCAGCAGCAATTAGCAAACACCTGATGGAACTCTTCATCTGCTGAGCTCATTATAAATTAAAATCAAATCAAATTTTATTTGTATAGCAGATTTCATCAGCAAAGCATTTCAAAGTGCTTTACATCATTAAACACAAAAACACAGTCATGAATAACATTGAATAAACAATCAAAAACATTAAATTTCCTGCCGAGTCAAAGTTCTGCCCTTCAAATCAGCAGAAAGAAAAGAAAAAAAAACATAGGAGCCACTATTCAGTGCAATGCTGGTAAAAACCTTGTTAAAGGGTTAACAGGAGTAATGTGATGACTTCCTGAAGGCGGAGTTTCAGAAAGAGCAGGAGCTTCTTAAAGAGACAGAGACCTGATTTCAAGGTGTTTCTTTCTTTTAAGTCATACTTGATGTAGCATTTTTAGAACACCTGAAAATAACAGTATAAAACGTCATTATATAAAACTGACCATTTAAAAGTGAACTTTCCTTCTTTTTGACAGCTGACCAGCAGTTCACTGCAGCGGTTTGGAGAAAAGCAGCTCTGCGCTGCTGTACCGGCGCGTCATTCCGACTTCAAGCAGTCACCATGAATCACTAGATAATGTGCGTCAGCTGATAAACTTTGTGAAACCTTGGCATACCCTGATGCCGGTAACTGACCAGTGTTGAGGACACACATTCTGTGTGTCTAGAACGAGACACGCAGAATGCTAAACAGGTAAGGCGTGTGAAACCTGGAGGATAATTGCTCAGCAATGCAGCGTGCGACGCAGAACCTTTCACACCAAAATCCGAAGGTGTTAATAGAGCAGAAGGAAGGGTAACAAATCCCCACCAGTCGCTTTCTCCTTTTGTTATCGCCAAACTTTTACACTCCAACACTTTCGGTATTGATTGCGAATCCTTTCTGGCTATAATGTATATTCTGATGCTTTCTTGTTAATCTGCACATGAAATGCAGCCTTATGCCAGGGAGGAGGCTGTGCAACAACAACAAGAAAAAAAAAAAAAAAAAACTCCACTTCTTTGATTTAGCTTACTGAAGCATGGGGACTCACGCCTTGCACCGGTGTTCATTTCATACTCCCATTTGTATCGCACATTTGGAATGCAGATGAGCTGGTATTTTAGTTCTGTCTGTCTGGCTTTGTCCTAATGAGGCATTGGTAAATGGGTTTCCATTATTCTGGATGTGGCGCTCCGAGGGCCCGGGTTGACTTATGTTGACAAAAACCAGGAAGATAACTTTAATGAGCTCAAGCTGGGTGTTTTCCATTTCAGATGTGGCGATAAAACCCTTGTCATTAGGACAGATAACTTCAAAAGTCGCCGTGATAAGTGAGCTCTTTAGATTTGCCTCCAGGCCTCTGGTGTTCTAATAGTAAACTGCTGCCTCAAAGTGCTTACTTACACTTTTAAATGAGCGCGGAGCCACCGTGTGTCATTCTCTTCCGAGCAAATATTTGTTCTGCTGCCCCAGCAGGAATTTCACTCTATTTTGAGGCCGTCTGTGAAGCGGCGCCCACCTTCTTTTCATGATATCACAGAGCCAGCCTCGCGAGCTACAAGCGGGCGCGCACACACACTCCCCCGGCCCCCAACTCTACAGCTCCGAGGGGACGCGGGATCCCAGGGATCGATGGACCCCCTCTCCGGCGCTTTGAGCCACTGCAGCCTCTCCGTTAGCCTCCGACGGCCATTAGGCGGAAGGACGATGCGAGGAAAGGCTCTCTGCATTCCGGCCGTAAATAACAGCGAGAACCATCTGAAGCTGCATGTGCTGCGCGCGGTGAGAGGTCCTTGAAAATGTACTTACCCATAAAGTAAGGCTGCCTCAAACAAAAGGTTGAAAGCGAGGTGAGCGCTTACCTTTAAACGAACTTTGTTCGGTTTCAGACGCTTTCAATGCAGCTCCTTGTCGAGGAGGGCTCTGCCAGGGTCAACAAACCGAGTTCATTTTACATTGAAAAGCTGACTGGAGGGCACATTGTGGCGCTCATGGGTGAAAACACTCAAATTAATAATACAACAAAAAGATAATATTAAAGGAGAAGTGTTATTTGTTTTAGAGCCATTTTATAGTACAATCAAGTAACTAAGTTACCTTCAGTTGTTATAAAAACGCTACATATGTCAAATATGACTTAAAATAATTTTTACTTCACAATTCATCACCTTGAAATGCCTCTGTCTCTTTAAGAAACTCCTGCTCTTTCTCAAGTCCTGCCTTCAGGAAGTCATCACAACATGGCTCCTCTATTAACCCTTTAATAAAGTTTTTACCACTGTAAGTAGCTCTCATAATGAGCTCAGCAGATATTCATTTCCAGCAGGTGTTTGCTAATTGCTGCTGGCTAGTCTAAAGGAGCTGGGTGGGGTTGTGAGGCGAAAGCTTGGAAGCTGCATCTCCAAGGTATAACTGTGTCTCAAAGTCGGAGATAGGTCCACCCGGGTGTTATGCTAAGCTGAACGGTTGCCATGGAGATTAAAAGCACACAAGAATCAAATTAACACTCCAGGTATGTATTTATAACATTGTAACGTGATGTAAAGCTCAAAAAAGTCGACTTTGCATAACACCGCCCCTTTAAAACTCCAAATTGAGCACAAACGCACAACGCTTTGATCCTTTTTTTATTTGTATCTTCACGTTTGGTATGTTAACGATTAGAGCTCAGAGAATTATCCTCCTAACAGCGGAGTTACTCTAAACAGCTCATTATACTATGTTGTGATAATTATGGCTCATCCTTCCAAAGTTTCCAAAAAAAGTTTAATCAATTTTTTATTTTTTAAAATAGGTTACAAAGAAAGTGTTACAAGAAAGACAAATTTGATTATTTGCATATTTGTTCTGCTGCCAAAAACAAAACAAAACACAAATAGTAATTCTCTGGGCTAAAGGTGACTGTTTCTCTGATGCATGATGAACGTTTTCTGCATTTTTACTTCAAAGGAAAGACCAGAATGTCTGAAAGGTGCATGGGTGCTGGTGGGATTCAATTCTAAATGTTCTTTATCAAATTAATTGCAGGATCCATAATTAATTAATTGCAAATAATTGCATTTCAATCAAACAACACATTGCAAAAGTAAGCGATATGTTCAATTCGAAAACCAATTTGCAGCCAAAATATTGAATACATGGATAAATGAGCACCCCGCCTCTCGCCCGGAACGTTAGCTGGAGATAGGCACCAGCACCCCTCCCGACCCCACTGAGGGACAAGGGTGTTCAGAAAATGGATGGATGGATGGATGGATGGATAAATGAGCTCAACAACTAAGATATGTATTGTTTTAAATGTATCATTTAGGCTAGTAAATCCATTCAGGAACTGATCAATCATGGAACTTCTTTAAAAATGTCATCTGTGGATGCTAATATTAGCGTTGAGGACGTTTGAGCTGCTGCTACATATTTAGCATTGAGATGCTATTTTAGGCTTTAATATCTTCACTGACAAGCTAACTGCTTTTAGCACAACTTGAACACTACAACTGTGTTTTCCCGTGTCCAAAGGAATGTGGTTAACTACCAGTTAACTGCGTTCACCAACGCCAACAACCAACCGCGTCCAAAGGAACGCGGTTGGTGGTTAAATACCAGTAAACCACCAAATGAACTGGTGGTTAATTTTGGCCCTGTTGGGCCAAGAGAAGCAGCTTTGTCGTCTACTGCTGTTGTCTGCGGATCTCGCTTGTGTGTCAGCTATACAGGTGTACCAGAAACGTGTAAATACAAAGGTTCCAACCAGAATCATTGTACATAAAAACAAAACAAAAAATAAAATGCAATTAATTACATTATGTTTTTAATTTTTAAATCTATGTAATTAATTCAAAATGTACACTTTGTAAGGTACATTAATCAGTAATAATCTTGTCCGTTATATACTGCCAGACAGGCATAATTTGTCATTCTGGATATCTTTCAGATTTTGCCTTGCACTCTGTGATGCAAGGCACTGAAGCAGCTGCTTCGCCATGGAAACCCATTCATTGTGGCCCTTTTATATACTTTTTTTTTCTAAATTGAAGGAAACATGAGGTTTGGATGTGTGTTGCTATAGACTTTGTAAAACATAAACAGCAAAGCTATTTCACAACCAGACTTATTGCAGAATTGTCGTCCTATCACAGAATCATGCTGGAAGTCCCAGAGCTCCTTTCTTCCACAAATGTTGGTAGAAACAGTTTGAATGCCTAGGTGCTAAATTCAACACACCAGTGGCCATGAAAGTTATTGGAACACCTAAATTCAACGATCCGGACGGGCGCCCAGACACACTGGGCATTGGAGTGCATTCCTGACTCGACACACTGAGCTACAGTCTTTAGTAATCCTACACATTTCTCAACCCGGCAATATTTTCATGTGGAGCAGCTTGTTGTGCAGCTGTGTTTTATCTTTCTATTGGTATGACTTGCAGCTTGTTTC